GGGGCCACCCTCCTCATCCTGCTGTGCTTGAGTCCACTGCTGCAGCCACTGTGTCAATCCATCCGGTTGAGGGCCTTCCCCTTTTTCACTGACCCTCCACTTTACCAAGCATGATACCCTTCTCCAGGGACTGGTCCCTTCTAAAAACATGACCAAAGTAGGCGACATGAAGTCTGGCCATTCTCGCTTCCAAGGAGCATTCTGCCTGTACTTCTTCCAGGATAGATTTGCTTGTTCTTCTGGGAGTCCATGGTATTTCCAGTATCCATCACCAGCACAACTCAAAGGCATCAACGCTTTGGTCTTTGTTCACTGCCCGGCTTTCACATACATTCACCTGCATGCTTGTTTCCTACTTGGGTCAAAATCTGACATGCCAGAGGTTCCATGGCCAGGCAATTCATATGCTGCCCTTGTTTCTGCTGGCCATGACTGAACTGTTTTCAACTGGTTTGAAGCCCTGTTTACACTCATGGAAAGAAGCAATCAGCTGGCATTGTCTCTTAGTGGGCCCCAGTGTTAGATTTGTTCAAGGAGTTGAAGAAAACCATGTTTAAATAATTAAAAGAAAATATGCTAAAAATGACTCAACACATATGTAATGTCAGCAAAGAAATAAAAACTATTAAAATATAACCAAATAGCAATTCCAGAGTTGAAAACTACAATGACTGAAGTGAAAAATTCATTCAGGGAGAAGGCATAATAGCAGATATGAGAGGACAGGACAGACCATCAGTGAACTTGAAGATACAAAAATAAAAATTATCCAATCTAAGGATCAAAGAGAAAAAGAACCTCGGAGACTGATAGGACAATATCAAATATGTCATACGTGCATTGGGAATCTTAAAAGGAAGAAAAGAGCTGAAAAAAATATCTCAAGAAATCATGGACAAAAATGTCCCAAATTCTATGACAAACATTAATCAACACATTTAAGAAGCTCAACAAGCTCCAACGAGGATAAGTTAAAGAAATTCACATCTAGATACATCATAGTCAAACCACTGAAATACAAAGAAAAATACTAACATTGGAAAGCAACAAGAGAAAAACACAACTTGTTATGTAGAATGGAGTAATACAATTACTGTGGACTTTCTGTCTGAAACAATGGTGGTCAGAAGACAGTTAAAGGGCACATTCTTTCAAAGTGCTGAAAGCAGGGAAAAAACACAAGCGAAACCCCATCAACCAAGACTTCTGGATCAAGCACTGTTGTTGTTGTTGTTATGTGCCGTTGAGTTGGCCCCGACTCATAGCGACCCCTCCTTGGGTTGCCAAGGCAGTATCATCACGGAAGTAGATTGCCCAACCTTCAGCAGGTGAAATGTACACATGCCCAAACTGAAAGAAGTAGAAAGAGATCGTCTGAATTGACCTATAACACTTAAAAAATCAATCTGTAATTTAAAATCCTTCCCATAAGTGAGCAGTTGGACCTGTGGGTTTGGAACCATGGGCACAGGGAACATCAAGCTGAATTGGCATAACATACTACAAAAACAGCATAGTGGCTAAGACACTTGCCTGCTAACCAGACGGCTGGCGGTTCAAACCCACCAGCCACTCCTCGGAAGGAAGGTTGGGCAATCCTACTT